TTGCTAAAAACGAGATATCTCGTGAGCCGTCCGCAATGTGTTAATACCCTCATTTTTCAATTATTCTAGTTCGACGAGTTAAATCTATTTCCATTGTAATCGACATGATTTTCTGCTGTTAACAGGTAGAAGGTGCAAACTTCATGTACAATCTCAGCCAGACACAAATTTTGACAAGCCTGAATGCCACAGCAAACCCAAATCGAATTCCAGAATGCTCGTGCTTTGAGTTTCCATCCGATGACTACTGGAAATGCCACGCAAGATTCTACACAATGACGATCTATCATCCATGTGGGACTTGCAAGATGGGCCAAGCGACTGACAAGATGGCCGTCGTGGATCATAGACTCAGAGTACACGGAATTAAAGGACTGCGAGTCGTCGACGCGTCGATTATGCCGAACATCACCTCTGGAAACACGAATGCGCCGGTCATTATGATTGCTGAGAAGGCTGCAGACATGATCAAGGAGGACTGGATGATGTAGATTATCGTCTGAGCTTGACCTTGTAAAATTGTGGAAATGGAAAATCTTGATGCTATATACATCAGAGAAGTTTTGGATTCTCGAAGAAACTTTGTATACTCTGTTTCAATTATGATCATAACTTACGTGGTAAACCGATGTCATGTTTTAATATTTAAAGAAAATTGTTTATTTTCTTCATTTTAATAAATTTTCTGGTAATAAATATTTGGTAATATGGATGAAGGTAATAAATTATTTTAATATTTCAAGAAAATTATTTGTTCATAGCGACCTATTAATTGCAAAGACCACCATTTTTTGGAAATAATGAATAAGTGGATATATCATTCTGTTATATCAAACAAATATCACAAGCTATCACACGTCTTGAAATTCCTTGAGATATAATATTTTGTTTTAATTAATAAAATTTAATTTGTCTGTTCTTTATGATAAAAAACAGTAAAATAGCTTCGACAGTCCTTTAAACAGGTTAAAATGTTTAAAATGTCGCAAAAAAATATACCGCTATACGTGGGACAGTCAATATAATAATAATATGTATCTTATTAATTACTCACTATCTTTTTTAGCAAGACATTCTATTAAGTAACAAAATGCGTAGGACGTTGTGCGAAGTTCGAGTATATCTCATTATGAAAACATTACCATCAATTGCATTTTCCTTATAATAATAAATAATAGGAAAGCCTATAGAATTAAACTGTGAGA